ACTGTAACCCTTAAAGTGGAGGACGCTGACGCACAGAGCGTTCCGATCTCCTCTAGCCAGTTTGGCACAGCATAGCGTCTGGATGGCCATGGACGGCGGAGACTCGTCTACGTCTCTGTCACCTCACAAGAAACTCAAGGAAACTCTAAAAGAATCAAGCTTATCGATCGCTCAAGTCAAAAAGAGAATTAAGGGAATCAACAAAAGTGACCGAGGCAAGACAAGAAACAAAGAAAACTACCACAAAAAAAGGAACACACCAACCAACGCTAAAAAAAACCACACCATCTTCAAACCAACCACTACATAATCACAATGGACTATATTCCCTTTCATCATCATCATCCAGTTTACCACCCCAAACCACATCAAAGGCAAACCTACCATCACCATCATCATCATCATGTTCAGAAGAAGCCGAATCCCATTAAACTCAACCGACCCAAGCATCCTAGAAGAACTACTAGAACGACAACAACAACAACAACCATCACTCACTACTGCCAACAGCCTCAGATTCATGATACCCCCCGAATCACCATCACACTCATCAACCCAGCACCCTCAACCACGTCTCAAATCACTCATCAAACTGGATCATCTACTACGCCCCTCACCATCCTTAAGACTCGCCGGACCCCGTCGAGTCCTATCCGAGCCCACCCCTGCTAGAACCAAACCGATCCACCAACGATCTCAGTCTACTCCAAGGAACCCGATCCTCAAGATCGATGGCCTCAAATCTCGTTTCTCAGTCCAAGTCTCCGATTCTGAATATCTCAGCCAAGAGGATCAAGAAGACCAATCAACTAGCCAACTTCCATCTCAAAACTACTCCACCTCATCCTCATCCTCCTCTTCTTACTCCTCACTCTCATCCTCCACCATCTCATCCACTCATTATACCTCCTCCTCCTCATCATCAGCAAGTTGCATTGACCAACCCAACTTACCACTCAAACTCTCAACTGACTCTCATCCTCACCGACTCCTGAACCGGAAAACAACACCAGCCTCATCTCATATAATCACTCAGATCAAGAATCAAAATCAAGCTACCAATCATTCCCCTGATTTGATCACTTCCTTGCCCAAGGAACCACCTACAACCGAATTCCGGAATCCTCCAGAGCAGCCAGCTCCAAAACATCATTCAAACTTCTCATCCGTCTCGACTAGATTACCCCCTACTAAATCTTCTCCCAGGCGACGATCACTCTCTCCTTCCAAAGGAAAATCTCGATCATTCCTACCAGAAGAAGAAGAAGCAGAAGAAGAAGCAGGCAGAGGAAGAAGATCAACGAAAACTGATCAGCGAAATTCACTCAAGCGTACTCACAACAATCATCGTCCTGATTACGATCATCAAGAACCTGATCAAGCTCAAGAAGAAGTGATCCTAGAACCGATCAAGACTAAAGGATTATCGGCCTTCATTCGACCTATCAAGTATGGACTCTTACAGCTTGCTTCATCATCATCAAGAGCCACAACCAAATCGATCAACAAAGCTCCAAGTCAGAACCCTTTTGAGCCGCTTCATCTCAGACTATGGATCACCAATCATCATCATGCCTTGTTCGACCCGATCCCCGCTAATCTAATCGGCATTTCTCCGAATGGTGATCAAGTTGAGTCCGAATAAGAATCCCTTAAGACATCCCCCCTTTCTTTAGTAATCTTTTTTTCTTTAAATGTGTAGATCACGAATCAAAACAGAATGTTCTAATTTGATTCTGATGATTGATAGATTGAGCTATTATATACGGAGGAAGAAGTAGATGAACGGTCGACAGAAGAGGATCTCAGACGATCGTATTCGAGCGCGACGTTGAAGGTGATCTTCTACAGTCTCGAAGCCCTGCCGATCGAGCTACGAAGGGTGTACAACTATCTGACGAAGCTGATGATGATTGTCTCGAGCAACACGCCTCGGGCGGTCTTCCAGCTCCACACGCCTGTGTTCCAACAACGCGTCCGCTGCGCTCTCATGCTCAACACCCCCGTCTCCGACCTCCAGCTCGACTATTCCTCACTCACTCACCTTTCGCATCTTAAAATCAAACTCTCCTTGGCCAGGAGCAGGATCAAAGTCTGGATCGACGGAAATCTCATCTCGCATCCGCATGACTCTCCATTCTTTGCCTCAAATGATCCCGATCAAACTTCGTCATTGGCCGGGTATTTGGTCTCTCTCTTGAAAGATTCGCGTTCCCTGCTCTGATCGCATCGTCAATCGATCAACCAGGGAAACATCGATCCTCAGTTTCAGGACTTCTTGGACTTCATCCATCCCTGTTTAATCATCTCGAATCAGATCCAAAGATCTCTTGATCAAGCTTGATCTCCCCCCCCCCCTTTTTTTTTCAGCCGTCTCTTCTTCTTGTTTTGTTCTTCATCAATATCTGGTGTAACCTTTGATCAAGCTTTTTTTTTTTTAATTGTATTCTTATGTGTTTCTATGTGTGTGTATATGTATTTATGTATATAATTATATTGCGGACCATTTCACAGCTCTCTGAGAGCGAACTTAATCAGTCCCACCTTCTATCTAAGAGGCGGGGCAGGGCCCCTTGGGCGAAGCGCGAGCCTCCGAAGGAGGGACTCTTGGGAGTTACCAGCCAATTTTGGCTTGGATCCTGAACTGCACTTTGCCAGTTGTGGCGGGACCCATACTTGGACACCACCTTACACCAGCATCCTGTGGGCCAAATGGCCCGCCCTTTGGCCAGATTGAAGCTTGCCATCTGGCCTTGAAGATCACATACCCCTTATTTTGTCTGGATTTTTTTTTTCTTTTTTTTTTTTTTTTCAGTCATCTGCAGGGGTTGTACATAACTTCAGGGTCTGCTAGAAAACACAATACATCCGTACATTTCACATAAATGCATGAAAACTTGGTTTGTGACTACAAACTGCATATACAATGATACACAGTTGATTCAGACAATTAATCTTCCTTATAAGCTTCTGG